ATTAGCCATAGGTCCCTATCTGCAGACTTTCTCGGTGCAATGTTACTCATTACTGCTGAACTGCTGGTACCCAGGGTGAAGCAGAGTCAGCAAAAAAGAGGAAGACCTTCAATGAGATGAACTGACCCTGTAGCTCAATGTACTCCAACATCAGTAATTTTGGGGATGGTGTAGGACTGAGCAGTAGTTTCCTTCTGGTTTACCTATCATCATTCTTTTGTTGTTGTTATATACTATTGAGTCAGAACCGACTCATAACTGACCCTGTTATTAGGGGAAGTCACACAGGAGGAGACTGACCATCTTTCTCTGATGGAGCGTCTGGTAGATTGAAACCACATGTTTCCTGATTGGCAGTGCAACCACTGTTGCTCCTTTATCGTCATGAGTCAGAGACAACTTGATGACCTCCAAAAACAATCACAAAAACTAGCATTGAGTACCGTTGAGCTGGGCTAGGTGGGGTCCTGCTCCAACCTGCCCTATCGATCTCCCCCATTGACTTTCCTGTTCCAATCCAAGTGGTTAAAGAAAAATGCAACATTTCCAGAGCATGGTTTTGTGAAATTTCACTGAAAAGTTGAAATAAGCAATGTCAGCAGCCTTATGTTCTTGCTAATGGTTTGGCATACCTTATGAATAAACAACACCCATTTTTCTTGTTACTGGAACTCATTTGCAGTAAATTTATAAAGCCATAATTCTACCGTGCTTTTTGACAGAGAGTCTAGAAGGGGAAAAATGACAGTGCAGTTGGGTGCTGGCGTCTGGGTGCACTTTTATGCACATGGGAATGGCCTGAAGGAGAATCGTTCTGAGGTACAAAGATAATCTGATTCATAACTCTACCTAGAGGCATTTAAAGAAGCTGTCAGAAGGCTCCTACAGTGACAAATTTGAATCCCAGGGAGCTTATGGAGGTGAAATGTGGACACACTTTGGAGAAACAGTTGCAGTCTTTTCAAGAGGAAGATTCCTGCTCTATGCTTGTTTCTCTCTCTCTCTGTATTTACTGCTTCACATCCAGAGATCTAGGTAAAATTTTTCTGTTCCTTCATGTAATTTCTTTAACAAAGTAAATTTGAATGGGATCAGTGTTGTGACTTAGAGATCTATGAGTTGAGCTAGAAAAGGATTAATTGAAAATATCAAAGGAATTGACTGTCTTTCTCCCTGACTCCATTTCTTGTGCTTGAGGCGTCTTGGCTATTTGGTCTAAGGAAGCATTATGAATTTAAACTCTCGGGGCCAAGTCACTGAAAGTAGACATATCCTTACTGATGAGATTTTTGAAGTCCCTTTGTGTGTAAGTGGTCATCAGTTACCATTTTATTGTTATCTCTTTTTAAATTTGATATAGAGGTTTTCAAACGTGTAATTCATAAGCTAGTGATTGAGATATGAGCACTCCCTATGTAATACACTTCTGATGAGTTTCCATAGTGTGCTATTTATATTTAAATCTGATTTACACAACCTTAGTATAAAAGCTGTTTGAGCAAATGCTACAAAATGAATCTGTTTGTATGGCTAAGACACAGGATAATTTCATCAATTTGCACGTCAAATTTTCATGTACTTCAACAGAAAATGTAAGACTTGGTATTGGAAAGGAAAAATGAGAGAGAAAGAAAAAGGTTAGCAAGTATTTGCAGTCTAGAAAGTAAGTTTTGAGCCTCTTTGAAAAAATTGCAAAGATGGACTTATTCCAGAAATGTTCCATAATTACAGCTAGAAGACAAAACAGAATCCTAAATGAATGGGATTTTGAGCTAAAATGCACACAGAAAATTCATATGTTTGTGTGTTTATAAAAGAAAAAAAATAAGTTTTGAAAATGTAAAGACTCAAGGGTCTGTCTGCTCATGCAGAGCAGAAACCTGACCTCTAACTTTCCAATTCCAGACATCACATTTCCCAATATGCACACTGCTGAGAATTGAAGGAAGCAGTTATTAAAAGGAAAGGGACTATTTTAGAGCAATACAATATTGCTTAGAATTCAAAATCCTATCCATGCTCTTTCCAGACTGTATTGGAAAGAAATTTTATTATTTTTTGTTTTCATTTAAAACACCAAACTTTTTAATACAGGGTCAATATTTCTTTAAAATTATCCTAAAGACAAACTAATTTTTTTTAAAAATTAACAAAAGAAAACAATAACTAATGTACTATTTTCAGTCCACACAGTCAAGTGCCTTTGCATAGTCAATAAAGAACAAACAGACATTCTTCTGGTATTCCTTACTTTGAGCTAGGATCCATTTGACATCAGTAATTATATCCCTTGTGCCATGGCCTCTTCTAATTCTTGCTTGAACTTCTGACATTTCCCTATCTCTGTACTGTTCTAGCCATTTTTAAATGAAGGTGTACCTAACTGGGCCATGGTCTTCTCAATTACTTGTCATGCTTCAGAGAGTTGGATAATGTCTAAGATGACAGAAGGAGAATAGATGCCTTTGAGTTGTGATGCTGGAGAAGAGTCTTAAACATACCATGGATTGCCAAGAAAACAAATGTGTATGTCTTGGAGAGGGTGAAACCAAGTCGGCCCTTGGAGGCTAAGACTTTGAAACTCCTCCTCCTTTACTTTGGGCACATGGCCAGGAGAGATCAGTTTGTGGAGAAGGACATCATGCTCAGAACCATGGACAGATGGCGCAGGAAAGGAAGACCTGGGATGAGATGGACTGTAACTCGGGCAATGGGGGTTGGTGTGTCAGAGTTAGTGAGACTGGCTCAGGACAGGGACAGGTTCAGGGTTGCTGTACTTAGGGTCACTATACATTGCAGGCAACTCAATGGCATATAACAACAATAACAGACTATGACAGGCTTGGAAGCAGGAGTAGCATCCACTTCCTCAATAGCATGCTTCCGGAAACTATGAACTTTGATAAATGTCGATAGTTGTAGAGGGGCTTCAGTTCTTTTGTTCATAGGGTTGTTATGTGAGTTGTGCTCAACTCTAAGGCAATCAACAACAAGAAAAATAGATGAACTCAATAGCAGCTCAGAAGCTTGTTTTAATTGTAAACATAAGTAATTCTTCTCATACTACTTGTAGTCATTGGAGAAGCTTTCTTGTATTAACGGTTTTTCAATTATCTCATTAGTTGACACTGGATATGAGTTAGATATTAATGTTTTCTTTGTCAGAACATTAAGATACTATGTCTGTATGATATCATTCTAGAATTACCAAATATTATGCCACACACTGAGTTTTATGTTATCTAATCCTATTAATTCCAGATTTGGAGTTGAGGAAAGCCAGGCTTGACTTATGAAATATGTTAAAAATCTAAGGTGAAAAAACACCTTTTGTTTGGTCCCCTGTTGAAAAATTTCCTAGGCTTTTTGAAATTCAGTACACTAAATATAGGTGCTGTTATTCTCAGAAGATTCAAGTTCATGCAGTATATAGAAGCTTCATTATTTTGATCCTGAAATACATGAGATATGTGACAAGAGAAAGAGAACATCCTTGAGGTCATGCAGACTTACATCCAATTCCAGCATCAAGAAGGAGCTGCGTGACTGAGCCAAGTTACCTTGTTCCTATACTTGCAGCAGTGTTGGTAAAATTAAAAACCTATGCCCCCCCAAAAAAAGATCAAGAAAACAATAGTATTTTTAGTAGCTCCAGAAATGTAATAAACTAATAACATTAAAAATGTAGGACACTACTATTACACAAGAGACTGACAAAAGACCTACGCAAATGGAAGAGTATTCTGTGTTCATAAATTGGAAGACTTCTCAAATTCAATATTTTCCTAAGCTATTTATAGATAAAATTTGTTTCTGACCACCATTCCAACAGCATTCTTAATGAAATGGAAATTCAGAGTTCCAGTTCTAAGGAAAGGCCCTCTGTCTGCATCATCTCTGTTGGAAGGTCCTTCTTTTCTCTGGTTGGCTTGGTGTTCTTTGGTTTTCTTTGGTTTTCAGGTGAACCAGGGTTGGGACCTGAGTACAAAAGGGCCTACTGTATCCTTGTGATGCTTTTTAGTGGTTTCTAAGATTTTCTCTCTTAATTCACTTTGTTGTATACTGTAGAGTTGGAACTGACCCATAGCTGACCTTCCAGAGGGTTTTCAGAAACGGTTAATCACACAGGAGGAGATTGCCGATTCTTTTCCCACGGAGCAGCTGTGGACTTTGAACCATGTACCCTCATGATTGCATTGCAGCTTTTTGCCATTCATTTTAGTTCCTTTTTTTCTCTGGGGAAGCAAAGATGTAGCAGACCATACCCTAGAGATGGGTTTAGGGCTGTGATGACACTAAGAAATGTTGTATATGACCCTTAATCATTTTACAATTATGTAGTTTAGCAGATTATGGGGAACAAGAACAATTTCCATATAATATTATTGTTAGACAGTATTGGATTGATTACTACTCCTAGAGACTCCATGAAGAACAGATCTAAACCTTGTCCTAACTTGTGCCATCTTCTCTACCATGCTCAAGCCCATCTTCTGTCTTGCTCATCTTCTACTTTCGGTAGTGTGATTCCTCACTCTACAGACTGATTCCTCCTAAAATGCCCAAAATATATGAGATTTCACCAGCATTGCCTCTAAGGTGCACTCTGATTTCACTTCCTTCAAGACACATTTGTTTGTATTTTTGACATGCGATTGGTGCAAAAGGAACAATAGCATAGTGAGGATTACCTCTACTACCTCCACAAAGGGGAATTGTCCCCATTATTAGTATCTACTGTATCACACAAATAGCCACAAAGTCAGAGATATTCGTGCCCCGCTGCCCCAACTTCCTGCACCTACTTTGACTAATCACTGGGTCCAAAATTCAATGTCAATGACTCACGAACATGACTTTATTCTGAATTAGGTGATTTATTAAGGAAACAGGTTGAGGGGTATTGGAGGTAAAGGGGAGCAAAGAGTGAAATTCCAGGTAGAGTGAACAGAAGTTCCAATCTAGGTTAACAGGAAGATACAATTTCTTAATTAGTCCAGACAGTTTCTCAGTCAACAAGTAAAAATCCAGGTTCAATCTAGCAACACAAATGCAAGAAGCCTGTCGTTTCTTCAGTTATCCAGAAAACTTTGTCTCCTAACAATCACAAGTTAATTCTTCCTTAAATCTTCCAGGGAGTGAAAGCTTTAACTCTGGTTTTGTCTGCAGGTCTCTATTATACTATGCCTTGTCAGTCTATCCACAGTCTGGCCAGCTCTTCCTTTTATATTAGTCCTACAGCTGTTGATGATGTTGAACACACTGAGCAATAGGTGAGCCATGTATCTGCAGTTGAGGCGGCTGAAGACCATGACCCCATAGGGATAAGGCAATGGCTAGAAAAGTAGTGTTCAAAAGTCCTAACACCATATAAGATAACTAATACTTATTTCCAACACTAAAATTTAATGGTATTGATTCTTCATTGGTCTTCCTTATTGAATATCCAACACTAAGATGCATAGAGAATAGTTGAAAATACCGTGACATGAATCACACATACACTTCTTTAAATTGACATAAAAATGCTATGGGTAGTGGAAGAATATTGCTTTATTATTCACATGAACTTGGGGGAGAGTATAATTCAATCCATGATAGTGTATGTATGTATGAATCTTTATATCTATATAGCAGGGTTTAGGGTTGTTGGACATAGGGTCACTGTGAGTTACAGGTGACTCGACAGCACATAACAACAACATAGATCTATATATCTGAACTAACAGCAGACTTTCCCATCATAATACATCTTTCAATTTCCTGCCAAGAGTGTTGACTGTGGAGCAAAGCAAACTAAATCTGCGAACAATCTCAATCTCTTTACCATCCATCCTTATGCTGCCAATTGGCCCAGTGGTGAAAATCTTTGTTTTCTTGATATTGATGCTCAATCCATATTAAAGGCTGCAGTACTTGACCCTCTGCAGCAAGTGCTTCAGGTCCTCTTCAGTTTCAGCAAGCAGGGTTGTGTCAACTGCATAATGTAGATTATTGATGCATCTTCCTCCAATCCTGACCCCACATTTCTCTTCATAGAACCCAGCTTCCTGGATAATCTGTTCTGCATATAGGTTGAAAAGATATGGAGATAGGACACATCCCTGGTGTATTCCTTATAAATTAGTTATTAATTATTACCCTTAGTGGCCATCTATTGGAGGCCAAACTGGCAAACTATAGATGAGAATGTTAGCAGAAAGTGAGAATGGTTTAAGTTAAACAGAAAAACTAGAACAGGAATAATTAGTTTGATGATACAATGTAATAGAATGAAATGTAGAACTTTTGTATATTGTTCTTTTTTTTTTACTACTTTCTTTACATTTCTTTTTTTTATTAAATTTTATTAATTTTAATGAACATTTACAGAGATTTGGGGTTTCCATTCATTCATTGTTGCACTATTTTCTCTACCCTCCCCCCAGTTTGTTCCTCTTTTTCCCCCCCTTGAAAGTCTGTTTTAATTGTCCCATTGCCACAGTGCTTGTCAAAGCCAGTTCTGATTAATCTCCTTTGTCAGTGTGTCCTTTGCCATTCCCTAGCACTCCTCCCTGAGAGAGATTTCACCCTGATTCATAAGGAAAATGGGAAGCTGCTTGACTTTACACACACTCACTAAAAAGATAGTAAGATGTTATTAACTTTAATAAAGTGCCTGGTGCAATGCTTGGCACATTGTCTAAGTTACTTTTTTGTTTGCTTGTTTGCTTTATTACTGATGCTCGATTTAGCTGCAGAAACACAAAGCATGGAGGAAAGTAACAAAATCCCTACTGGTCTTCCTGTATTCCTAGACATTTGTTCCCTGTAAGAGATTTCTGATAGAACTTTTCTTAATGTTTGTTTATTTCTCCAAAAAAAGATGAGTGGCACTGCAATCACAGTAAGAAATGGCATGCGCTTCAACCTTTCATTGATTAGGAAAAATCAAACAGGCTTTGTCAAGGTGGTTACACGTCATGGAAACTCCTTGTGTAACAAGGAAAAATGGCTCCGCATCGTTTTCAATGACAGATTTTTGTCGAAGTTGGCAGCAAAGTATATCTTCTGAGACACTTGTAAGTGAATCAAATACTCAAACCTGCAATTAATAGCCAAGTATGTTCTCCATTTGCATCCGCCAGGCACTTCCAGTTGCTTGCCTTCTGGTTAATTACCATTTTTTTGTATTTAATAAATTTTTTTATTAATTTTAATGGACATTTACAGAGATTTTGGATTTCCACTCATTCATTGTTGCATTTTTCTTCCTGCCCCACCCCTCCCCTCCAATTCACTCTTCTCTTTGAAAAGTAAAAGAAAAATCCCTTCATTGATATACAATGCCCCCTTAATTACCATTTTATAAGACTTGATAATGTATCATCTTTATAAAAGAAATCTGAACGTTCAATATTAAAGGTCCTTGGTGGCTGCTGGCTAGTCAAGCCAGGCATACCAGAGGTTCTAATTTCGGAAATACATTCTTTTCTTAAACCTATCCAGCAGGTCTTTGTCACTTGAAGCCACTTTAAACTTTTCAGAAAAGCGCAAAGCATGGTGACTTCCGTAGCAAGGAAGCCAACTAGCTTGCGAGGTGAGCCCCTTGAATGACCTAACTCCAGAGGAGCTCATCCCAAACCAATTGTTCATTGCAGGTCACACCGCAGCCCTGCGTATGCCCACAGGTGGTTAGATGTAAGAAAAACATCAGCGGGCCTAACCTTTGAGGTTAAGGAATTGCATTGGCCCTGTGTCTCTTTCCTCTCTTCTTTGACTTTATTTCATCTACTGTGAATGATCCTTATGTTCTCATTGCTGTTTTATGGCAGAAAAAAAAAGATAAAAAAAAAGAGATGTCCTATTGTGCTAATTTTCTCTTCCCTTTGGTCTGGAGGAAAAGTGCTACATAACATATTCTGGATTTCCCTGCCTCCCAAAAGTGTGGGAATGATAGATTCCACGAGCAACCTTTATAAGCTATCCACATGAAGTTAAAGGTTGTCTGTCGTTTCCTAGATCTTTAGATGAGTGAAGCAATTTATTGTTTATTAGTTTAGCTCACACTCACAACAATTCTACTAAGCTCTCCTCTGCAGAAGCGATGGAGTACTGCCTCAAGACTTACTCGTCTCAGCTAAATTACCTTCTTCCCCAAGGCAAATAGAGGTGTTCCTTTGGAGCCCCACACAGCCCAAGCTCTCTTTTGGACCAGAATATTTAAGAGAAGAAAATCAAAGTGAAGGCAATTGCCACTGAATCAATTATGACTCAAGGAGACCCTGTGAATATCAGAATAGAGTTGTGCTTCATAGGGTTTTCACTGACACGTATTTTTGGAAGTAAGTAACTAAGACTTTCTTCTGTGGTGCCCCTGGGTAGACTCCAACTTTTTTTTTGGTTGGTTGTTTTTTGTTTGTCTGTTCTTGTGTTGGTTTTTTTTTTTTTGTTGTTGTTGTTTGGGGTTTTTTTTGAGCAATCAGTGTATTCACCACTTGCAATACACAAGGACACTGGAGCAAGAATAGCACTGCCATGTGTTAGCAGGTGCTTCTTAGACAAATCAAAAGCAAAAGAATCTCCATGAAACAGTCTGTTTTTTAAGACAAAGTAGGACTTTGGTATGTGTGAAATTTAGGCCAGTGGATGGACTGTGGAGGCCCCTGATTCCCCTGTTTAACCTGGAGGATTCTGATGTGAACAGAAATTAGGCAGTTGCAGTATTTCTATAACAGAACCCTGGTGGAAGTGCCATTGACAGAACCAGTCTTGCTCATGTCCACCCTGATCTCATTCCTTGCCAGGAAACAGCTCTATTCCTGCCTGACTGCTCTCTGTGATGAGATGTTGGATGGTGGCCACAGCTTCCAGGGTGGCCCTTTACTTAAGCAGTGGGTGCCTTTGCCCGGCAAACAGCTACAGGAAGTCTTTGAAAGCAAGAGAATGTTTTTCATCTTTGCAGGTCCCAGCCAGGACATTGGTTCTCAGTGCAGTACAAGCAGTTTCAAAGTTATCTCCCATGCTGATATGGATGTGATAACACAGATCAGAGAGGTGCCATAATGATTTCCTTTCAAAAGGCTGCCTCACCATTTATCTTTGCACACTGCCAAAGACTGATATGGTCGGGAGTTAGCAGTGGCGTGGAATAATTAATCTTGCACTCAGGAAGTAAGTTTCTCATTTGTCTCCTGAAAAATTAGTGCTGCATTGGCAGGAAAGGGAGATGATCTGATGGGAAAGGGGTGGGGGTGGGGCCTTTTTTAACATGGATGTCAAATCTCCTAACACTCGTTCATCATTTAGCATTTTGATTGAGTTCCTACTCAGTGTCAGGTATCAGAGAACTGGAGAATTCCAGCACTGGAGCTTCTGAAATGGTCAAATCTTCTTTGTAGGCATTTGGGACCTTGGCAAATACCCAAAGTTGCCTTGGTGATGTTTATATCCTAATCTGTGCAACACCTGGATTTCCCTGAGTATATTAGAGTCCGTTGCCTTCATATCAATTGTGGCTTGCAGTGACCCTATGCACGTCAGGGTAGATCTATGTTGCTTAGGCTTTCCAGCAGATGATTTTTCAGAAGTTGAATGCCAGACCTTTTTCCCAAGGTGCCTCTCGGTAGACTTGAACCTCCAATCTTTTGGTTAGCAGGCAGCCAAGTGAATGAATAGCTTTCAGAATTGAGGACTGAGGGTCTATAGTAATTATTTCTAAGACTCAACTTCTGTAACAAACAGATTCCCTGTTCAAGCACCAAATCTTCATTAAGGACCTATTGCATTGGGAAAATATGCTGCCAGTGATTTCTTTGAAGTGCTAAAGAGTAAGGCTAAAACATTAAAGACTAAGGTGCAACTGCCCCAAGTAATGTTTAATTGTTTCATACATGTGAAAGTTGGACAATGAATAAAGCATATCTGTGAATAATTGAATAAGACAGGAGTGTGTCAAGGTTGCATCCTTTCTCCATGCTCATTCAATCTATTTATTTGAGAAGCTGGGCTCAATGAAGAATAATATATCTTCAAGATCAGAGAAGAGTTAT